ATTTTAATTTTCATGTTATTTTAATATAAATTCTATTTATGTCTTTTCTTATGTTTTATGTAGCTGGTATGTCTTACCGTGAGTAATAAATAATCAGCTGGCCATGCGCAGATAAAAACCTCTATAAGTGCAGACGCGGCAATGGCAAAAAATTGGGTTTTTATAGTTAATGGTTGTTTCTAGTTAATGGTATGCAAGATAATATTTTAATATAAGTAATACAAAATTTAGATTATATTTGTGATAGAAAGAAAAGAATTGGTGATTTCGTCTTTGAAATTTTTATTTGTGCACAAAACAGCTTGTAGGCAATCGAGCTGTAGGCAATAATTTTATGTGCAAACGAACTGTCGGCAAACGACTAATTAAGATATTTAAGATATTTACGCAAACAAATGTATTATGTAACTAATGCAATAAACAACTATACGCAATGAGAAGATGGAACAGAAATGACTCACGCTCAAAAAAGTAAGACCGCTAAATACCACTGCTATGGTACTAAAGCCTATCGATGACAACGTTATATATCGAACTGTCATAGTAACATCTCTTGCATATCTGTAATTAGCGTTAATTACTATCGGTTTTTTTTTATTAATTTTACTGTTGTATACTCTATTATAGAATTAATTATAATTATGCATTGGTTAATAATGTGAACACACAAGTTTAAAGATATTTTGGTTGTATAATATCAGCTAAAAATGTCAGCCAAAAAATTAGCTAAAAAAGCAAATATTTTTAAGTGAAAATCATTCGAGAAGTATTCAGTACAATTAAGCGAAGGAGGCCATATTCGGGCAGATATTGGTGCTTAATAATTGATATTAGCAATGTTAAATTACTTATCAATTTATTGTAATTTGCGATATAACGTAATCCAGTTTCAGTTTAAGACTATGTTTAAAACTAACAGGCTTCTAGTTTGTTTGAATTAGAAATTGTAAAATTCACACAAAAATATTATTAGGCACCTAGATTGCTTTGATCAAATATATAGTCTTCTTCGCTTATTCGTGTTGAATATACAAGTAAATTATTTTTAAAGAGGTTATTATGCGCCACATTGCATTACATAATTTACATACCGTAATAGCCGTTGATGCAGTTGTGTACAGATTATGAATTCCGAGATATTTGTAATTTTCTGAAATTTATGGGATAGAATCTCGAATCTTGCTGCTATGAACCATAGCAGAAGAGCTATAAAGATGTTGCTACATACTTGCACACAACTTTGGTATACAGCCATTATATGATGCAAGTAAATAATAGTTCTTAGTGGTTGTTTTTTTACATCGAATGGATACTCAACTTCGATTGGAAAGGGTTGATCCATCAATAATGGTCCAAACCACATTATTATAGCTGTCATGGTCATGAAACATAGTGTCGTACAGTAAAATAATTTACATTTATTGATATATCGCTGAAATACGTTCCTTTCTTCTGATTTTGCTTGCTGAATATAATTTTCCATTTCGTATATTATGATCTGCATAAGTATATTGTGTAATCTCTCATTAATGACGGAGTCAGCAAAAGAAGTTTTTAGTTGTACACCAGCTAAATATATTTGTCAAAATGACAGCATTTCGCAAATATATTTTTTATTGTAATTTTTTAAGCTTTTGGCAAATTAAACTTTGCACAAATATAAGTATAATATTATATAATAGTTCAATTTGAACTGTTTCGTATATAACATATAGCATAAAATATTAGTAATGAATATTACTGTTGAATGTATATTTTTTCGCGATATTAATGAAAGAGTTTAAAAACGTTATTTAAAAATAAATTTTTTTTTAAATGCTATCATTAAAACATGTTAATTTTGTTAAATAATTTTTTTTTAAATTTAGAAACAGAATAAACACTGGTGTATGGTAAGTAGACAAAAATTTATAAATGGTACAATGAAAGTGATGATGGAGTCAATTCAGTAAAGGTTTTAATGAGAAATTTTTATTTGTAGTTTATAAAATTTGAGAAATGATAAAATTACTTTCTTAGTAATTCGAAAAAGTTGAAAAGTGCTGCAGTTTTAAATATTAGGAGATGCAAACAAAACGGAAGATTTACCAAGAAGTGAAGATCACTTGCGTGTTCAAAAATCAGCGCAATGAAAATAAGCGTTCAAGGTCTCAAATTATTCGTACGTGCATGTACTTTCGAAAGAAATATGTTGTTTTGAGAGATCCAATATGGCGAATCCAATATGGCGCCTAGAAGCGATGAATATCGCATGCAAATGTAACATTTTTTTGCTTCAACTATCATACTGATCCCCAATAGGCTTGAAAATTATTACTTCTAGGTTTTTCGGAATTGCTGATTACGAATAATTTGAGACCTTGAATGCTTATTTTCAATGCACTGATTTTTGGACACCCAGGTGATCCGGTTGATGTGGAACATCCCATATGTATTCACGTAATTGATATTAAATTGTTTTTTAAATGTTTATAATAATAAAAATTTTTATCATAAAATATTGAAATAAAGAAAATCTTATTTAAAAAAATTTTTTTATCTTCTTGGAAAATCTCACAACTACAATTGAAAAATTTATTTGTAAGCTATATCGCACCAATTTAATCCTCTACATTACATATTTAAATTTAACTTTTATAGGTTTATATTATATCTTTTTAATGATACAAATTGATTTTTCTATGATACAAATAAATTAAAATTACAATAAATTAAAGAGCACATTGCATTTCTTACTTGCAAACGATCACTTTGAAGGGTGAACAATAAAATTTGTATTGGAATTTGCAAACAGGCGGACAGTTCACAGCCCACTTTCATCACAAGAATCATATTATCATACTTCCTGTTTAATGTATATATTAATGATATTGTCATTATGATGCTATTTAAGCAACATATGAAGCGAAATATCTTGTCACGAATTTTTTGAAATTTTGTAGCCTTCATCGGAAGTGGCCAACAACATGCAAACGTCAGATCTATTTTTAAGAAAGCAATAATCTTTTCTAGCGTCAGTGTTTCTATCATAATAATAATAATAATAATCTTGTGAAGTATTAGAGATAGAAAATAACGCACTTTATTCCGATTCGCACTCGACTAAAGTGCTACAAATAACATACCTCTTCCTTTGAGGAAAGAAAAATCGCGTGATATTAAACACTTAAATTACAGCTATGTTGCATTCATTTATATTTTAAAGCAAAATGTAGTTTTCTCCGGCAAAGCGATGCGTGTGGAACTATAATGTGGCAGAAATTATGAGAGAGGAAAAGAAATAATAAAATGCAAGAGGGATGTATATATTGATTTTTTGTTAAACGTAGGTCAGTATTTTTTGCGTTTTCTGAAGTATTATTGACAAAACGATGAAATAATTACATCTTGTATAACGCGTGTTATTATGATAAGTGAAATAGAAAATTTAGAAGCAAATGCGTCTAAGATTAATAATGTAAATGTTATATTAATTCTAAAATGGTTTATTTTGTATCGTATTTAAACAAATATCTGTGTGTATGAAAAATAACTTTTATTACAAACGATGGTTTTTAATATATGCCTATATTAAATAAAGACTTTCTTTTAATCTTGAAATAATGCATGATAAAAAAATATCAACCAAAAACCAATCAAAAACCAACCTTAACATAACTATCTGTAGAGCCTTCCTTAGAGCGATTGGTTATTGGTACCGTATCAAAGACTGCCTGTCCAGTCTCATCACTCTAGAAACAATATTGGATAATAATGTTAATTTATTGTAATTAATTAATCAAAATGTAGCAGTTTTTCTGTGATAATTAAACTTACTATATAAATCAAATGTTCTGCTGGTCAGGTATACATGAACACCACTGACAATCAACTAAACATTATATCAACACATAGGATTTTCATTGATAATGGCTGATCCTATTTGTAATACAGTATCAAATACTACATCAAACTATCTATCAAATAGCGTGATGATTTCTAAAGTAATATTTATTATTAATACTATGATAATAAAACAACTACATTTTTAATTTACTATTATTTCTTAATTAAATGATACAATTTCTTGAAATAATATTTATATATTTTAGTGTTACTATACTATATAACTACAAAAGCTTTGGTTTGTGTAAACGTTAATTGTTTGAAGCAAGGATTTCGATTGCGTTTATATTTAATTATTATTATGATCGTCCATCATTACTCGCAGAGTTGTAAAATAAGAGAGTATAGTTGAAAGATACTGCAACATATAATAATAAATATAGTTAAATTCCATTTACGTTAATAAAAAAATAAATTTTTTATAAAATATAAAGATAATATATTAAAAAATGATATTTATATAATTAATTAAATTAAAAATTAATTCTTAAAAGAATATATATTTGGTCAGTCATATTTGGGACTTGTCAACAATAAAAGATAAATTTAATAATACCAGACAATTTTAAGATAAAATTTCAATTTTAATTCGATTTTATTTCTCGCACTGCAGTACAATTTTACAACATTGACTTCACAATTTGCAAAGGACTTAACATAATTCTCGCTATCTAACGACGAATTGATTATTGAGCTTTAACGCTAATTAGTTACTTTATGGTTGGACATGGTATGTGCCAGCACTTCCTATGATCACATTATATGCGGAATTAATTTTTATGTTACTTAATTGAAGAAGGTTCTGTGAGCCGAAACGTATGTTTAATTTATCAAATGTTATTATATGTATATATTACATGCTATCTCAGTATAGGTTTTTAAAATGAATCCATTTATTGTAATATCTTATTTGCTCGCATATCGGTCGTTTAGAATTATTGGTTATTTTAAAAGAATAATTAAAATACATATATGTATATATTATATATATTTATAGCAAAATATATATATTAATATATGTATATATACCTATAATATATATTTTATACATATAATATATACACACATAGAGAGAGAGAGAGAGAGAGGGGGGGGAGAGGGGGAGAATTATGTAATAACGTTAAATAATTAATATAAATAATGTGTTATCAAATTTAATCAATTTCTTAAATTAACTTAGAACTTGATCTTACCGATGTAAAGTAACTGAGAGATAATTCGGGCAGAAAACAAGGTATTGACACTGTTATTGATTTTTGACTTCTCATTATAATAATTTGCAAACATTTCCATATTTCAATTAAATGATTGTTTTCGAGTAGATTAAACGCTGTTTGTGCGACGTCTTTACTCTGTGGATATATAATAAACATTTTTTAAATAAAGTTAATTATATTATAACAAAATGTAATAAGTTATTTACCGTATACATTAAATGTTCTGCTGGCCAAGTATACATAAATACTTCTGCTATACTTGTTACACCCACTCCGAAAAACTGGAATATTACCGCCATAGGTTGATGCTGTTTACAAAAATTGTTTGACACATCATTTCATGTTAATGTTCTTATATACTAAATTTTTTGAGGTAATTGCAATTCCTTTCTTTTTGCATAAGTAGATGATAAATATTATGATGATACGATGGAAGGATATGATGAAATTGCGTATATGTAATTTTTAAATTATTTTTGATTTTTCAAGTGTATCTGATATTCTGATGACCATGGCATTTATACGTCTCGGTCCCCCGTGACTCGCGTAAAGGATCACGATAGTGTCGCTGTGCTTGTCTTAGCGCTGAGACACTACCATGTCTCCTGATTTATGTACAAATTTAGAAGAAAATATATATTCAAGTATAATATTATATTTTTATATAATATTACATATACTTACACTAATAAACAAAAGAAAGACTATTATTAAGCTAATCGTGCTACAACATATAGTCGTAAATGTGTAAGGACGAGCAGCATTTGTAACTTCCTTTGCATAACTGAATAAATGTATACGACAGGATTATTAAAATCTTTCTAACTAGATCATTCTCACGTAAGATAATGTTTGTAATATTTACATCAGTAATTTTTGATGTTTTTTAATACATTCAAACAACTGATAGATATTTGTAGTTTTTTTTAATTCTTCAGACAGTATCTCAAATCTTGCGGATACGAACCAAAGCAACATTGCCATATAAACATTCATACATAGTTGTCCTGCTACCAATACTCCGACTGTAGATTGTTGTATAAAAATTATTGTTTTTACCGGTTGATAAGATACATCAAATGGATATTCGGCCAATGTTGGAAATGGCTGATGCATTAAAGGAGGTATTAATACGATTGTTACCAATGCAATCCAGTAGAAAGTAATCAAAGATATACCATGAAACACAACACATTTATCAATATATCGTTGAATCACAACTTCTTCATGTGGTTTCATCACGTCGCAAAAATTTACTATTTCAAAAGTAGCAATCTGCAAATAATTATTTGAAATAACTGATACATACAGAATGTAGTAGTAAAATGTGAATCTTTAATTAATTTGCACGTAAATTTTTTAATGTTAAATATTAATTACCTGTATATGATGATAATGAGTTAGATGAAAAATAAAGTTAAAAGTTGTGTGAATCGTGCCACTTAATATAAGAATTTGGTTTACTAACACAGGAGGATCATCAAGATGATTTGTGATACCGTATATCAATGGTAATTTTAGGCCTGTTGCTAGAATTATGCTCAAACAATGATACAATGTCATACAAAACATTTTAAATTTTGTCGCATCTTGTGGCAAAGGCCAAGACCAAGCTGGGAACACACTTAACTTTACGACGGAGATCGCTTCTTTTAGCGTCACTTTTCTTCGCATGACTGAAGTATGCTACGTATGTTATAAACGTATTGCAAGTTGATATTATGGGAAATGAAAATTTTTTTGCGAGCCGTTACGTAATGGATACGTTCTATGTGTTTGCAATAATATGATGAAAGGGTATTACTGTAAAGGGGAGTTACTGTAGGATAACATGTATTCTTGCGTTTTTCCGTTTCGCGTGGGGTATACGTAAATAAAATTATCATGGCATGATAATACGATGTATGTGAAAAACGGATTGCTTTGCGTGTTTGAATAAGGGGTAACGTTCTCTGCCTATAAAAGCGTTAAAAAAAATATGTATGCATAGTAAGATTTCTGTATAATTTCTAAAAAATGTTACGTATTTAGGATGTTCAGATATTCTAGATATCAATAGGTAAGAGGTTGATTAAAAAGAGATTTCTCTATGATATCACGGATTCATCATATATACTGTCCATTCACATATGCTGAGAAACTCTATACGTTACTTAATCTGTTCATTATTTTATATAATGTAGTTTTATATTGCTATACAAACTTTAGTAAAACAGTTTTAACTTATAGACTTTCAACGCGCAGTAGTGTTCCTCATTGTACTTTACATAGTAATTTTATAGGTGTATATCCTGTCTGCGATAGGAAGTAAGTGTTCAGGAAATAACATATGTTTCACTGAAATGATACCCTGTATAGGAAATAAGGATTTTACGCTCGCAAGACCTTTGTATATAATTTTGAGAAAAGGGAAGATTTGATGTTTCATATTAAGGAAATAGATGGATAGGGCAATATAGGCTATAGATAGGTATAACAAATCCATTACGAGGATAATATTGCGTTTCTTTAACTCCACGTTGGAATTTAAAATTATTGTATGAGTCAGTATTTGGAAAAATTTCTAAGAAAATCTGACGAAGGAAGGTCGGACAATGAATCGGGGAGATTCCGTTAATAAAACGATTGCTTACTGCAGTTTTGCTTACGCACATAACCTTGTTGCACAAATGACTGTGTCGCGCACATGATCGGGTTGTTCACATGATCATTTCATATACATGCACATTGTAATAAAGAATGTTTATAATTGTGCGGTATTTTATATGCAGAATTTTCAACTTTTCATTTAAAGTGCGGTTCTACATGGGTTACATTTGAGATTCATCTGACATCACCCGGTGCAAAACAAGATCTATTCTACGATTCGATATGGGTTTTTAACTTTCTACATGAAGAGAAGTTTTACAATGTGTACGTACGCAGCATAGACGTGTGTGCGACACACGGTTACGTATAACGTATACGTCAAGATTTCCAATATATTTATAATATATAGTTTTTGATTGAAAAAAAAACATGTATGTTTAATATTAAGTTTATAATTTATGTAAAAAATTTTTATTGAGATTATGAAAAGATTCTTTTTCTTTTTAACTTTTTCTTTATTGTAAGTTCGTATTATAATATATAAATAATTATTAATGTGTGTGTAGGCTATTATGCATTACATAATCGTACAAGTACATGAAATATTTTGAAGTATTTCAAATCTAACGTAATATTGTTTTCAATACCATAAAGTACGAGAATGTAACGTAAAAAACCTATATATACAATTAATAATTTATAATCCGATAAGACATAAACATACATTAATAAGTATAACAATCAATATTTATTCCTATACCTTCGCAAAATCTTACAGAAATTATGGGTATAAACTTGGTACCTCTAACTGCAATTGGCTTCTGACATCTTTAAATAACCTTAAAAATTGTTCGACGTACATACCTTTGGGGATGCATTTATCCATGGAGAATCATAGATTTGTCAAGACAGTTTGTAAGACTACAACGAAAAATTTATAAGAATTAAAAATTATATTATTCTAGGTTTATTAAGAAATAACAATAAGATAAATAACTGATTGACTTATATTATGTCTCTCTCTCTCTCTCTCTAATAAATTCGATATCAAATAATAAATAAATTAGCATAGCCTTTCTTTAATCCCATAGAGAAATTAACAAATATTTCTTTTTAATTTAGTCAGATAAAACAAAAACATTTATAAAATATGTTTTCTATCTTATCGGAAAAATATAAACTTTTGGAGTAGGGAAATATTTCACTTCTTGAAATAGAGTGACAATTTTTACTCTTTTTGAGTGAAATTTCACTTTAAAGGAATAAAATCTCACTCCAAAAAAGAAATGGAATTAATATTTTTTTGTAAATAATTTCCTGTTTACATATTTATAAATTATTTAAATTATTGATATTGAATAATATAATATGGAAGATAAAGTGACACTAATTCTATCATTGTAAATATTTTTTTATTATTAATTTTATTATTAATTTTGTGTTACAGACACAGATGTAGGCGGGGTAAGGTGGTGCTTTTTCGTACATTTTTCGCGATGATGTTTATATTTCTGATCAGCACATATTAAATATTTAAAGATTGTGCTCCCAAAGAGAGCAATCGTTTATTATTTCGATTATATATATGAGCTATATGCACGTCACTACAAAGAGAGATTGTTTACCGTAGTAAATTTGCACATTACTTTAAAGATGAAACTGACGGAATAATCACGCTTTATCCTATGATTTAAAATATTTACAACTCTAGTTCATCAATTTGCTTCGCAGAAAAGTATAATACATACAATAGAATTCTTAGAAAAAAGTATAATACGTACAATAGATTACATTTTCAAAATGTCTTAATTAGCCATCACTGCTCGAAATGTTGTTAAATAGGAAAACGTAGTTGATAAATACTGTCATATGCAAATATACAATTTTTATTATTTGAAGTATCAGTAATGTTTAGTAATAATTGTAAATTATTAAAACTCACACGAATATCTTATTTATCAAATATTGTTTTAATCTATCATTATTTATTTTAAACTTATATATTGACATGAGAAAATATTATGTTAAAAAAAAAATAAAGGAGGATGTTAAATATTGTCGATTTTCGCTGCCAAATGTAAAATAAATGAACCTTGAAAAGTCATTGTTCATTCACCTTGAAAAGTCATTTGGAATTATAAATGACAGAAAACAATAATGATTTTTCCGAGAAGAGATGAAAACATTGCTAGAATGACTTAAAAATAATAAGAAATGACATAACCATATATATACGTTAATAATTGCAAAACCGTTATTTTAGCTAGAATTGTATAAATAAAGATCACCGACTATATTAATCTACTTGACAATTGGGAAAGTGTCGAAAATCGACATTTCTTTAACATTCTTCTTTATGAATTATCGTACCCAAGATTTTTGAACTTTAATTAAACAACTGAGAATAACTCCTGTGAATATTCTAATTTAAGTACGACTTACAGAGGCATAATAATTAAGTGAAAGAGTTGGTAGTAGACATGGCACTGTAAGAGTGACAGGATATTGACATCTCGACACAGTATATAACAAATTCTTCTGTAAAGATATATCTTTACAGTACCACGACGATTCATATCCTGCATAACCAATGTCATTGCTCTGAAATATTAAAATAAAGGAAGCATTATAAAAAAATTTTACTTAGAATAAAGACAAAGTCATTAATGTAATGTGTATTTTTGTTCACAAGATGAAAATATAATTATAGATCGCATGAATTATATAAAAAGGAATCATGTATATCTATATATTTATTCTAAAATTTATACATATTTTATATTTACATTGTTAATTTATTGCAATTTTAATTTTCATGTTATTTTAATATAAGTCCTTTTTATGCTTTTTCTTATGTTTTATGGTTGAGATGCCTTACCGTGCGTAATAAATAATCAGCTGGCCATGCGCAGATAAAAACCTCTATAAGTGCAGATGCAGCAACGGTAAAAAATTGGGTTTTTATAGTTAATGGTTGTTGCTATGCAAGATAATATTTTAATATAAGTAATACAAAATTTAGATTATATTTGTGATAGAAAGAAAAGAATTGGTCGCAAGCACGCACGCACGCACGCACGCACGCACATACGCACACACACACAATGTCTACAATTTTAAAAATATTAATAAAAAGTAATTTTAATTCTTTTTTTTAGTAAATTAGATAATGCCTAAATCGATCTATTTATATAAATTTCACAGTACTAACTACATAAATATTAGATTTGTTTGTATCACGAACGAGATGGCTCCTTTTACCTACAAATCTATTGTCTAAAGCTCGATTGCCTACCAGCACTTTTGCGCACAAATAAAAATTTCAGAGACGAAATCACATTTGTCTACATGTATTATTGCCTATAAATCGATTTACTTACATGTATTATTGACTACAGCTCGATTGCTTACAAGCACTTCTGCGCACAAATATAAAATTTAAGTTAAGTAAGAAAATAATTAGTATTTTTTTGAAGACAAAAATTTGTTTTAAAATAGAGAATTCAAATTTTTACAGTAGAAAATTTTGTGTTTAAAAACAGAATTTGTGTTTTTAAAGCGGCACATATAGGTAATCGATCTGTAGGCAATAATACATGTAGGCAAATGTGATTTCGTCTCTGAAATTTTTTATTTGTGCGCAAAAGTGCTTGTAGGCAATCGAGTTGTAGGCAATAACTTTATGTGCAAACGAACTGTCGGCAAACGATACTATATGGCAAACGACTTGTAGGCAATCGGAATCCTTCCACATGCTTCTACTAGTTTTAATTAAGATATTAAAAATATTATGCAAACAAGTGTATTATCTAACTAATGCAATGAACAACTATATGCAATGAAAAGATGGAACAGAAATGACTCACGCTCAAAAAAGTAAGACCGCTAAATACCACTGCTATGGTACTAAACCCTATCGATGACAACGCTATGTATCGAAGCGTCATGGTAACATCTCTTGCATATCTGTAATTAGCTTTTAATTACTATCGGTTTTTTTATTAATTTTACTGTTGTATACTCTATTATAGAATTAATTATAATTATGCGTTAGTTAATAAAATAATAATATGAACACACAATTTTAAAGATATTTTGATTGTATAATATCAGCTAAAAATGTCAGCCAAAAAATTAACTAAAAAAGCTAATATTTTTAAGTGAAAATCAGTCGATAAATGTTCAGTAGAATTAAGCGAAGGAGGCCACATTTGGTCGAGGCGGATATTGGTGCTTAATAATTGATATTAGTAATGTTAAATTACTTAAGTAGTAATACTATGAGAATTCTGGACCACTCATAGGTGCTAGAGGGGGGAGCGGGGTGCGGGGGTACTCCGGGGGAAGGGAGGGGGGGATATCGCGGGGGAAGGCCGAGCATGGTGACGCGATTAGTGGTATCGCTGTTTATGTAAACAGTGATACCATTGATACGCGTCGCCGCCGCCGCCGCCCTCTCCAAAATGGGAAGCGTCGATATTTTATCTACATGTCGCGGTACGGCCAGAGAAGCGCCGGCCGCTGTTTATCTAAATGCAGTGCGCATAGGATGGGAAGTAAAGACCGTATACGGTGATGCGAATGACAAATATTTTATTCACATTTTTTTACATCGTTTTCTTCGTACGTATTATTTCCTTCGTACGTATTAATAGCTAAAGCTAAGAGCTCGAAATCGACGATTTGATGCGTGTTGAAGATGCCGCTGTCGCGTATAGCGTTCTCGGGCGCGATATTGGAGAATCGCGTATACTTGGCGTCAACCCTGTCGATGACTCTGGCTAATCGTTCGAACGTTACGTCGATACACCCATCAAACTCGAACATACGGCGTAGCGTCGTTTCGGTCATCATCATGTATACGGATGAAGAATCGAGATGTACGAGCGTAACGTTGTTCAGCGTGCATACTTTGACCGTTAGCGGTCCAACGCTTATGAAGTTATCTTTGTACTCGTTTCGAAGCAGCTTGTAAATATTCCATCGATGCTCGTAGAGACCCTTCCACGTTTCGAGAGACAGCGACAGTTCGTGTCCGCGATGACCTCCGAGGACGATCTCCACGTAACTCGGTGGACCAACGTTGATGCCAATTTCCAAAAATTTGTGGTCCGTAGCCGTCAGGTTGTAACGCCTGCTCAGCAAGCGCACCGCGCGACGTTCCATGCTGTGTACGTACGTAATGTTAAAAAATGTTTTTTAATTATTTTGTGTATAGAACGTCGAAACGTACGCGTTACAGTCCTTCTTCCTTTCGAACGATGCACTGCTCTCTTTGGCGAAGTACATTTCTGAGCCGTTCGTACAAGCGGGTATCACAAGACTGATCGCACCCGCGTAAATTGCGACGTATATGGTGATACTTTTTGAAATTTAATAGGGATATCGCCACCCCTATTTCCAAGAATTGCAAACTTGTTACAACACGTTTTATATACTACGTATTTTCTTTGTTCGCGAGTTTATCTATGTTTATACGTACATACATACATACGTACATGCATATAATACATACATACATACCTATCTACCTACCTACGTACGTACGTACGTTCATTCGTACATACATACCTACCTACCTACCTACGTACGTACGTACGTACATACATACATACATATATACATACATACATAGATACATGCATGCATGCATACATGCATACATATGTTCATACATAC